TGTGTGTTAGTTATTTTCTTTGCATTTTTTTAAAACTATTTTTTTTTCTTCATGAAATGCCATAAAAGTGACTTCGATTCTACATTTTCGAATCCCTCTGAACTACAACAGTCGTAACCTGCAGTTTCCTATGGTCTCTGATGAGTCCGTCCAATCTATGAGATCGGTCCTGATCCACAGCACAGTTCCACAGAGTGGGGAAGACAAGAACGTCATATCTAGAAGGTATAAGGAATCAGATAAAACAGTATTAACTATTAGGATTCAGCATATCTTCTGACTAGATCATCATCGGTGTTGTTGTTGTTGGTTGTGGTGGTAGTGGTTATAGTGTTGTTGGTGTTGTTGTTGTTGTTGTTGTTGTTGTTGTTGTTGTTGTTGTTGTAGTTGTTGTTGTTGTTGTTGTTGTTGACGGTGGTGGCCGGTGGTGGAGGTAGTAGCAGTGTTGTTGTTGTTATTGTTGCTGTTGTTGATGTTGTTCTTGTTTTCTTGTTGTTGTTTTGGGTTTTTGTGGTTGTTGTTGTTGTTGTTGTTGTTGTTGTTGTTGTTGTTTTGATCCCCTCCCCATTCTTATATAATTGATTTGCTGGCTGTGCCTAGATGTTTTCGGCGCGGTTTTTTTTTTCAATTTGGGGGAGGGGGGATACTAAATCAACTTTAATCGCCGTAATATTTCACACACAATTTGTTTAGTTATTACATTGTCTTTTTTCCATTTACGGTATTAAAAATGATATATTTAATAGTCAGGGAGTTAATTGCAAATTGGAATAGGTCAGCAACAGGCACTAAAAAGTAGATTGGAAGAAAGACAAAGACTTGTTCACTTGTCCACCTTCGTTTACAAAGTGCTAAGTTAGTTTCCATTGTTGGTCAAACAAACGGCCTTTGCCCATGTAATAGTCTGTTTCTTATAAAGAAATAGCCACGGGTCACGTATAGAGTATAGTCTGTTCTCATTGGATGCGTGTTTACCGTATCAGAGACCTTATTAAAATTTAAGCAATACACATTTCCATCCCGATAGTGTAGAAGTACGCAACCGATTAGCTCGTGTTCAGAGATGAGTGAGATTCTGACACTCACATAATATAAATAAATATTCAAAACTTAATTAACTTGCTATAACAAGCCAGGGAATAAACTTACGACTTCTAAGAGTTAATAACTTTGTTTTGATTCGTATTCAGGGTCATATCTGACCCACCATGATAATTGGCTTGGTATAAAGTCAGTAAGTACATTGAGCCCCGACTTGAAACAGGGTTAAAGGGGTGTTTTTAAAATAGACCAGAAAATATAGTTCCGCTCTTATTAGAGTTAACATACGATGTGTACATTGAGTGGACACGTTACCACGTCTCCCTCTGCTATAGAGTTTTAAAAAATGGATAGATAGACAGACACAGAGGGCGGGAGAGAGAGAGAGAGAGAGAGAGAGAGAGAGAGAGAGAGAGAGGG